TTCAAATTATGGTGGTATAGTGGGCATATAGTTAAATATATAGGGGTAAAATTAGTATTTAAAAGTTTCACCACCATCCCCACTTTTAATATATTAATAGATTTTTATTATTTTATCGCATTGACTATTTTAATAAATTTTAAAAAAGTGGAACTAACAAATTTTGGTGTTCGTTATAACACATCTTTCCAAGGTAGGCTAATTAACATTCCACCATAATTTTTATTCGTTGCAACACATTTTAATTATACTTGAAGTCCTTTATTTAATCATATAAAACTTACGTCTCTAACATTTTTCTCGTCAAATTATTATCTTCACCCTTTAATTACTCAGCGCATCTATTCTTTGAAAATGATTTATGTCAAATATTATGTTTGTATGCTTTGAATCGAGGAAATAAAACACTGTGACAATTTTGCATTTATCGTTTTTTGAATATGATGAGAATATAACTCGTTTTACGTCACCCTAACTAATTTTTGGATGAAAATCATTCTTGAAGGCGAGATGTGCTAATTAATAAAATGTTGGAAAATAAAAATCCATAGAAAAAGTAAAATAAAAATAAAAATAAGGGATTTAATTAGACAATATCAATGACCTTAATTATAATAAAAATGTGGTGTGATTAATAAAAATGTGATGTAAATATAATTAGGGACGAGTAAACCATTCACAAGGGAAATTAAGAAATTTCAATTACGGGGTCAATTTGATATATAATTAGTGAAGAGTATGATGATAAATACCGATATTAAATAATATGCAAATCAACTATTCAAAGGGGTACTTATAATATGAGTTGTTTCGAACAATCAAGTTGCATCTTACTCCATCACAAATTAATTCTAGTCGACTTTTAGTCCTATGAACGTGCGTTGTATGATTAGATAGATCTCATCTACTGGAAGGTCAAAATTGTAAAATCAAATCCAAGTTAAATGAGTTAGGTGCTCAATAATTAGATTAATAATTATATTGGTACCACACTCTAGGGTTAATTGCGATGAAAAATTTCAATCTTTGCTCCTTTTTTGCACTAATATCTGCAACACGTTTCGGCGAACATTCTTATCTTCAACATATTATAAATTAGCATATTTTTCACCGTACATTTTGGTCAGAACTTCTAAATATGCCCTTTGAGCACATTCTTTACATTTTTCGAACATTAATTTTCCATTTTTTTTCATTGTTATATATTGTGATTGCATGATGACAAGGCAACAAGGTACGATCTTGACAAAAACACTTAAAAGGTAACAAAAGAAAGGGCAGTGAGACTTTGTCAACCGATCAAATCTTCTATAAATGGTCGTATCTCTTATGAAAATATGTCTCAGTCCAATTTAATGGACAATAGCCCAATTGTAAAATTGGCCAATGAAGGGCAATTTGACAATTAGATGGAGATTTGGATAGTTTTCGTCATTGAGAAGTGGTTAAAGGTCGGGACAAACTTGCCGTTACGACAAGAAGTAGGGACTATAATGCAACTTTACAAAAATATAATCATACTTGAACCAAATGACAAGTTTGCCCCTCAAAATTGAAAAAAGTCACATGTCCATTATTGGTCCATTGTGCACACTTGTTCACAAGCAAAAAGTATTGACTGAGAAGTGTACAAATTCAGATACAGATATATCATAATCTACCTATAATTAGTCCATCCATGCATTTATTCTCCTTCTCTATAAAACACCTACCCCAACTCCTTATATCCCCACACAGAAATTCACAACACCACTGGTTTTCTCTTCACAATGGGTGCTGGAAAATGGTGCTGCTGCTGCAACGACGTCCTATGGGGTGGTCGACTCGACTCCTTTGAGCGATTCACACCGTATGATTTGTCGGTAAACAACTCGAAAGCTCCCATTTGGACAATGTTATGGAGGAAGATCAAGAAAGAGAAGAGAAGAAAGTTCAGTTGCTCAAATTCAATGAGATTCACTTATGATCCATATTCTTATGCACAAAATTTTGATCAGGGCTTAATGTGGGCAAATCACGATGAACTTTCTCGATCTTTTTCGGCTCGTTTCGCTGTTCCATCAAGAATCTTTGAGAAGAATGAATTAATGATTTGATTATCATAAGCTAATAATAATCCATCATTTGGTGTCTTCTTCTTTCTTGTATCGACTTTGTTAGATCTTTTTTTGGAGTGTAGCTACAAATTGAACGAAGTCGTGTAAACAATTTGTGAAGTCGAACCGAAATTTATGGCTAAATTAATCTGTTATACTGCGTTGTTCTTTTGTTGTGCTCATTTTATTTGCAAGAAATGGAAGATGCTTTACAGATTTCATTTTCTTGACAGGTATGATGCCTTGGAGATTATTCCTACTCTATCTTTTGTTGACTTTTCTGCATTGATGTTGAAGTAACTCGTAAATGGCAATGATAATCCAGCAAGGATCCCTTTTTATGTATTTTTAAATAAAAGAAAAAATATCATAAGCTGTAAGTGATACGAATAATATGAAGGAGATATTCGATACAATGAATTAGACAGCATAACAAAGTTTGTTGCATTTTTCCCTTTTGTTTAGTCTAATATATGAGAAAACTCGATTACTAAAGAAATGGAATCCAAAATCATTTCTTTATTTGTGTAATACTTTTTCCAACTAAATAGGTACATAAATGCTAGCTATTGTACAAGAAAATGTAGAGTTAGGTGGTTGAAAATGGAGGTTTTTTTTCACTACCAACTAATAATGTTAGAATTATACCAATTCTGTTTATAGATTTGATTATAAACTCAAATAGGATTATAATATGTCAATTCAGTAACATTAAAAATATTTGTTCTGTATTATTTATTTGTTGGGTAGGAGGGATAAATTCTTATTTCCTTTGCCATAGATAAATTTAAATCTACTCTACACACCTAAATTCTCCATTAAATAATCATTAATTAATTTATTGTTGATGCCAGCAATACGTAGAGTGTGTTTGATTGGCGTGGAAAATATCACCTAGAAAAGAAAATGTTTTCCATCTTTTGTGGAAAATAAAAACCACATTTATCCAAGGAAAATGTTTTCCTTAAAAACAAGTAAAATTATGCATATTTTCAAAAGTTGGAAAATGTTTTTCATGGAAAAAAATAGCAATCAAACACTTTAAGTAGGAATTTGGGTTGAAAACTGATATTTTCCATGAAAAATAAATGTAATCAAGTGATAAATAATCAATTATTTTTCAAGCTTGTGTGCATGAAAGTCTTATTATCTGATAGCATCGAAAAGAAATTTATTATTTTTTCTTAATTCGATTTAATTCAATGTATCGAACGTGACTTCCCTATATTCTCTTTTACCCGTTTCTTATAATAGGGTCAAAGCTTGACTATATACAAATAAAATGGAATCCTATGTACGTATTAATTGAACCTAGCAGGCTTATCTATTTTATAATTGAATTGAGGGGACAAATTCTGGTGCTACAGTTGAGAATAGGCATGACAAAGTGGGTTAAAAAAAACTTTAAAATAATGGATGCAGAAGAGGAATAATTTAAACAGCATGTGTTCTTGAGAAATTCTCATCACCATTAATGCCCGTTTTCTTAGCTACTTGGATAAAGGCCCATTCTATATAAATTTTATTTTTTTGCGAGGTCAACACTTTTTTTTTTTTTTTTTAATGGAAATCTGGCTTTTCTCAACTATTTTTAATCTCAATTTTTGGTCAAAGAGGACTTGGATGTGTAGACAAACATATCAAACTTATATTTGCTAATTCAATCTGTTCATGGTCAGCGATTATAGTAATCATTTTGTGTGTCAACTTGTTATTAGAGGAATTAATTTTCTAGAATTTTTCTTAAACAATAAGCTAATTTCAATAATAAGTTATCTTTTATAGTGACTACTATAATTGTAGGCTATAAATAGCATTACACGGTTTATCGATAGTGGGAATTAACAAAATCTATTCAATGACTAATATTGAAGTCGTCCAAATTTTTATAATTTCAAAATTATGAATCTTTTGCAAGCACCATAAAATTTTTATGAACTTTTATGACCAACATGGATATTTATGACAAATGACCTGAACAAGAACAAGATGAGAACAGGATACTAGGATAGGAGAAAAATCCATATTCATCGTTTTGTTTAATTATTCTATTTATTTTATTCTTTACTTTTTAAATAAGATTTAAATTGAAAATCATATATATATAATTCAAGATTCAAAAAATTTGAGACAAGAACCATATTCTCCATCCTTGCTCCATTTACCATTCGAGGTGGGAAATTTTAACATCCTCTAAAATATTCCTCTATTTTTTAAGAACATATTTTATCATTTGAAGAGCATTTATAAAATTATAGAGTTAAAATTTTAAAATACTCCAATAAGCTATTTATATTTAACACTTAATTTTACTACTCATAAAAAAATAATTATCATTTTCCTTTATATTTTATTTTAACTAACTTTCCTTTAAAGTATTTTTTTATTTTTCTACATTGAAAATTGAAACGCTTTGAATGCATTTAATCATAGAGAATGAGTTTGACTCTCCTTTTTAAATTAAAATATTAATTTAAAGAATCTTTTAGAACATAATTTTAAAGGTTGACACTTTAAAAAAGAGAATGCTCTACGATAATGCAAGGGTGATGAAAACTAACTGCCGGAACCGACAATGTACATAATTCAAAAGCAGGATTGCTTTGTACAATCTAAAAATTGAACTTTTAGCAAGCAACATAAAAATTTAAAGACCAACCAGGATCTTAACCCGTTTATTGCTTATGTACCATCGTCTATGAGAACTTCAAAAGGTTGATTGAGTTAAATGTATTTTGTCGTTGATGTTTATTATGACGTATTTGTAATTATTTTTCATAACATAATATATAGCTAATTTCGACTAAATAAGTTCTAAAATAATAACGTAACATTATAGCAAATCAGCAATAGCAACACTAAAAAGTTATCATCTTCGTTATCAAATACTATCAAGAATACAAGTTAAAAAGAGTTCCTATTTCTTAATTTATTCAAGTGGGTGAAATAACTGCTAAGAACCTCTTCAATGGCAATTAGGCTTAATATACAGGATTTATGAAATACATCACAATCTAATATTGTTTCTTGTTTGAAACAATGATACAATCTGAAAAACATTCTATCGATGTAAAATAACTTTTACAATGAAGAGATGGGCGTATAAGCACAATACCTGAACTCTGCTTTGTGAACGGAATTGAAATTTTGCATCTCAAATTCTTGCTCGTTCACCCGTGGCAGCTCGAACTCCATCTTTAGTACCAGGTAGGCTGCAGAGACCACTGCACGATGGGTGTTAACTTCAATTTATGCATTTTTCTACTGAAAATTAAGAGCATGTTTGGATATATCCACTACAATAGAAAAGATTTTAACTTCTTTAGTGCAACAAACACACAGTAAGATTATACAATACTGCTATGGAACAGCACGTACCATGCTACTTGAATCCCCTTTGCAGATAAATAGTGCAATAAAACTGAACTTTATCCATCACGGATAGACAAATTATAATTCTCTTGGAACGTTGTTGTCAGGTACTCTGCAAATGAAGACAGGGTGTAACAAAGTTATGTAGTTTAGCATTATAGGTACTTCAGATTGTAAGTTAGTTAGAGAATTTTATAGAATACTAGTCGGTTATTCATCTGAGCTCTCAAGAACATCTGAAATTGAGTACTAGTGAACCAAAAGATAAGTCGTCATCTTTCCCTTTCATTCCCCTTTCAGTTTTCTTTCACTATATTAATTCCCCAGTCATTGATAAGATTCTACGACCAGATGTTTAAGGGTTATTTTCTCCTGGATACTCGTCCATTAGAACTTCTGTTTGATGAACAGTAAAAATTGATACTCAAAAACAAGAGCAGCCATGCATACAGCAATACTTACTATCAGAAAAAAGCATGTTCTATGAAGAACATCACGACTAAAGCGGTCTAACTAGAGTGACATGATCTTAATAGAACGGATTAGAAGATTGAGGGATAGATCAAAACTAGGCCTCTTGTGGTTGCTGAGTATCTAGTTGTAGATGTGTACATCAGATATCAAGTGGAGTGGTGAAAAGGAAATCATGTTGCCAACGCCACCTTTATACGGGATAAGGTTAGTTTTATGTTAATAATTAGAACATGGAATTACAATAAATTTTGCCCGAGGCAGTCATTGCTTCATCGGGTGATTTTTTCCTGCATGATTGCTATTTAATTTTTAAGAGAGAAGCTAGTATTTACACATAGCCAGAAAAGGAACAACCACCATTTATCTTATCAGAATTTTATTTATAATCAATTATTAAACTCAAGGAGTTTTCATAATAGGAGAGAAATGTGAACATAAAATGTCTATTCACTTGGTAGACAAGTTCCTTACTGTGCTTCATGATTAGCCAACAAGTATCGCTCATAGAAAGACTTATATTTCGCGGGAACATAATCCTTGAATCTGTCAACAACGAAAAAGAAAAATTTAGTGAGTGAGATCTTTCTCAAGGAGATGGAGATTTGTTTGTATAATGAGTTGACACAAAAAAGTATCCACCTTCATTCTATCCATATCATTACAAACTTTTGGAGACTATTGGCCATCATACCAAACAACTCCCCCCCTCCCCCCACCTACCCACACACACACACACACAGAACAACAACAAAAAAATGTAAAACCCAGAACGAGAGAGACTGAAGGAATCCGAACAAAACAACTGCATATCTATCAATGTGGTTAATCTCTCTTAGGTGACCAATTAAGTTGTTTTTATTAAACACTGAACGGATTCAATCAATGTAGATAGCTAGACTTATCAATGTAATCATTACAATAATAGGAAAATAAGGTAAAATTTGCATGATATTACAAAAAGTAACTATTCTAGTATCTTGCTCGTGCAATGCTGACTGCCTAGGAACTGAATATAACTGGGGAGAACTAGCAAGTTGTGATGAAAGCATGACTGTATACATAACAAAAATGTAGCAATAAGGAAATTGTCACTTGTTAACTCCATACCCGTACAGTAGTGAGTGCCTGTCTGGAAGAGAGAATAATTTTGCAATAGATTGCAAAACATGGCGTATTTTCATTGCGTTAGATTTTAGCGCCTTCATAAAGCCCACAAATTCTTTATATTCTGCATCAGTGAGTTTTTCGCGGACCTGTAAGTCATGCAGTTTTAGAGATCTCAATTTCCAGCAAAAGAGCCAAATATTGAGAGAATTGAGTTATTACAATAAAAACAATAAAAGTTTTGGGCCAAGCCATCAAGGTTTGCCTAAAATGACATTTGTTCACATCAATAATTTCCAGCTTCATATACGTAAACTGTTTCAGAATTTGATGAAGCTGTAAGTATCCATTATTAACTTTTCAAACTAAACAACACTGATTATTATGACAGACACCCGAATGACATCACTAGGGTCATTAATGCAGACATCAATGTAAATATGTAATAGAATGTTCCAAGAATGTAGCACTTATTGATCATATTTAACTTTGTGGGAGAAGAGAGAACACGGAAGCTCAAATCACTCTGTTGGAACCCACAAAAAGGGAGTTTATGTATTGAACTCACTGCGCTCTTTGATTTTCTTGAAAGATTCTAATTGATAGATTGTCTCACATTTTTCATTTCTTTGAATCATGAAAACTTTTCTCATTTTCCTGCCGGCATATAATAGACGATGGGAAGGGGCAACATTTTAAAAAAATTTCTAGAACTTTTTCAATATACATATATATTACACATTTTAGTTTTTTGAGATGAATGTTTGTATAGCTTAGTGGTAAAGGTTACAGCTCGTGGCTGCAAACAACGGGTTCGAAAATCCTGGCTCCTCCACTGGTGTAATGTATTAGACATTGACACCTTTAATAATTTCTTTGCTGCATAGTCCTATGATAAAGAAAATCAATGTACTTGTGCAAATCAATTGCACGAGTAATCAGGACGGGTTAAATACAATTCTGTAGTGAGTTTACACAAACCACATAGAAATAGAACGGTGAAAGGATCAAAGCACTTCACCTGGACCAGAAAAGCTGATCCTCTCTCCTCCACAGCATTGCAAGTAGCTTGAGGATTCTGAGAGCTACCAGTCCTAGAAAATTGTGGACAATTCTGTTCTGCTGAATAAGTAGAATCCCCATCAGACTTCTTATAAAGTTGGGTCTGATCCGGTCCTTCTATAAGTAATTTACGCTTCTTCAAAGCATAAAGTGCTAGCAGTTCATTATCTTTATCATCCAACGATACTTCAGGGGTCAATTTAACTATTTTCTGCTTGTTAGATTGTGTGCTATTCAGTCCAGTGGTTAAAAAATTCTTATCCAAATGTTTCAAATTAGTCGAACGCTTCAAAGCTGAATCCTGAATAAGCTTGTCTGACATTAAAGACGAGCGATTGGCAGGAAGTATTTCCCTTAGCTGGTTAGATAAGTTGCCTCCTTTGACTTGGCAGGAAGAGGCCATAGATTCCAAAGAACAAGTTGCAGCCGTGGATGTGGTCTGAGGACATAATCACAGAAAGAAAATAAAGATTTACCAAGTTAGTTGATTATCATTATGATAAGAAAGAAGTATCAATGACCAATTAAAATTTACCATGGGAGCAAGATGCTTTTCAAGGTGAAGTTTGTTCAAAAGTTGGGAGCTTTTTGACCTATTTATAGTTTCTGCAGATGACAAAGTATTGTTCACAATTCTCATTAAATATAAAATATCAAGAAAAACAATGTAAAATATATATTATTATAAAGGGATCTATTTTACCAAATAATATAAAAAATTTACATGAGAAATCTAGGGGCCTATTCCAAACACACAAATATACACACTCCAATTTTTATTTGGAATTGGCATAATAGGCAAGTTGGACTTTGCTTTTTTCCTTAAAAGTTATTTCACATTCAGGGTCCGTTAAGAACATACGTTGAATGAACTTATAATAACCAATCATAAGAATCTATTTAGCTTGTGCTGGAGGAGCTATAGAATGTATGGGGGCACAACTCAGTAAAGCTATAGAAATCAAATATCCATAAAATATAAGATCACAGAATCTCGAGTCCACCTTTACAAATAATCTTTAGATGCCCATGCAATAGCAACTAGGTAGAATATCAAAAGGAGACACAATTGGAGCATTTTCAGGATCTCAAGTCCACCTTTACAAAGCAAAAGCAACCAGGTAGAATATCAAAAGGAGACACAATTGGAGCATTTTCAGGAAGATATTGCCATGTCACATACAAAAAGGACCATGAAATATGAACTGATGCAATCATCCATCTCAGCTTTTTATCGAATAGCCATTTGACCTAAGCTTCCTGCAAGAATGACTCATGAGATTTTATCACCTTTCCATTTTTCACATCTATCTTTGAACATTCCCGAAGATTAGTTAGAAACTATGATCTCCTTCATGCTTGAGCTTTTGTTACCAAAATATAAGGTTCCTATTTAGCTTTCCCAATTCACAAAAAAAAAAAAATATGATCTAAAGATTAACAGTCTTTCAACAGCAAATTTGGTTTGTGTCAGATGGTTTGCATATTCAATTCATATTAAACTTGCAAAGAGGTTCTTTCCAAAGATTATGCTAAAATATCCATATGTCCATTTTCCTTCTTTCGATAGATGGGTCAATATATAGGTACATTAACTATTTACAGACACGAAATTTCAGTTCATTAAAACAAAAGTTAAGGCAGCCATTTATTACAGTATAATCATATGAAAACACCTATATACAGTTACAGGCACGCTTTGCCAAGTATAAGCATATCATTTTGTGATTCACCAGTGGAGTGTATACCAAGAAGGGTTGTTGATTATCTTAAGAGTGTGGAAAAGAAGTACCTACCATTATATATGACATGGAATAGAATTGACAGCTAAAAAAAAAAATCACAAAGAAGAATGTGGAAAAGCACATCAGAAATTCACAGATTTAGATTAATAAGCAAAGCATTTAGAGAAGAAAAAAGGAAAATTGAAACAAGCATCAGAAAATGCATATATATATATATATATATATATAAGGGATTTTACCATGATCTTCAACTCGTGTTACTTTTAGTTTTGTAGGGCTACCAGCTCCAGCATCTCGAAAGAAACGAGTCAACATGTAAACTACATCTCCAAACTTAGTGTAACACTGCATTCAGAAGTGCACAGACCTTTAAAGAAGGGAAGGAAAAAGGAGCATAAGAAAAGCCTGTAAAACACCACAAACCGTACTTTGATATGAGGTTGTATCCACAGTGATATTTGAGACTGACGACTTGAATTTGTAAACCTTGACACAGGAAATAAAATGAAGAAACATACATGAGCCGCAGTAATATATGTTACAAAACTGGGGAGGAGAGTCATTACATCACTGACAAATAATATCCTGCACTATGCAGTAGATTAGGCACACAATACAAAATGTAGATAACACCCCTCATGATTGCTAGCTCGGAAATTATAAAATTACTATAATGATCAAAGGCATTTAAGATACTTCCTTACCTCTGCAAGGCTGAAGAATGTTCTTATGAATTATGGGCGATACTGGTCTAAAGCAGAGAATCCCCTCCCTTATTCCACTATTCCTCGAAGGGTAACCAGGACCTATTTAGTCACATTTCCGTCTTCCAATTGAACACTTTCCATTTTCAGTTGTAATGCTTCAAGATTCCGATTATCTTAGCGATGATATACCTCAATTTGAATTTTTACAAAGCCAGAAATTGAAGTATTGTTGAAGTTTAATAAAATATTTACAGATTTAATCACATTTCTGTCTTCCAATTGAACACTTTCCATTTTCAGTTGTAATGCTTCAAGATTCCGATTATCTTAGCAGTGATATACCTCAATTTGAATTTTTACAA